AGGTGAGACTTTGTTGGTGTGGGCATGGCCTTGTTGGAGGAAGTGTGTCACTGTGGGGGCAGGCTTTGAGGTTTCCTATGCTCAGGATATCACCCTGTTGCCTGCAAGATGTAGGACTCTGAGCTACTATAGCACTATGTCTCTCTGAACATTGCCATGCTCCCCTCCATGATAATGGACTAAACCTGTGAAACTGCAAGCAAGCCCCCTCAATTAAGTATTTTCCTTTATAAGAGTTGCTGTGGTTATGGTTGTCTCTTCACAGCAAAAAAAAGTAAGACAATTTTTCCTGCATGTGTAGTGCATTAACGGTGACAGAATGACTGCATTCTGCACATACATGTGAACCACCTGTTCAACATTAACCCGGAGGCACAGACTGATCAAAGTAGATGAGGAACATATAGCACATAGGTATGTTAAACTACCTGGGCACATGCCTTTAATCCCAGCACTTGGGAGGCAGAGGCAGGAGCACATGGATCTCTGTGACTTTGAGGCCAGACTGGTCTACAAAGCAAGTTCCAGGACAGTCATGACTACACAGAGAAACACTGTCTCAAAAAAAGGAAGGAAGGAAGGAAGGAAGGAAGGAAGGAAGGAAGGAAGGAAGGAAGGAAGGAAGGAAGGAAGGAAGGAAGGAAGGAAGGAAGGAAGGAAGGAAGGAAGGAAGGAAGGAAGGAAGGAAGGAAACATGATGTGGGAGTGATTTCTTATTAATAAAGAAACTGCCTAGGCCCCTTGATAGGCCAACCCTTATGTGGGTGGAGTAAACAGAACAGAATTCTGGGAAAAAGAAGCTGAGTCAGAGAGTCGCCATGATTCTCCCGCTCCAGACAGACGCAGGTTAAGATCCTCCCTGGTAAGCCACCTCGTGGACTACACAGAATATTAGAAATGGGTTAGAACAATATGTAAGAGCTAGCCAATAAGAGGCTGGAACTAGCCGGGCCAGGCAGTGTTTAAAATAATACAGTTTCCATGTAATTATTTCTGGCATAACCTAGTCATACGGGCGGCCAGGTGCCCGGGACGCAGCCCTGCTGCTCCTAATTCAACAAAAACAAACTATACCAGGTATGGCAATGAACTATTGTATTAACTTTCTACTTGGGAGGCAAAGGCAAGAGGATCATGAGTTCACTGTTAGTCTCAATTACACAATAAATTCAAGGCTAACCTGGGCTACATGAGAGCAGAGTTCAAATAAATAACTAATGAATAAATCAGAAAAACTAAACCAGAGAACAAAGAAGACTGACAAATGCCACAGTACCTTGGACACCCATAATAAGGACACTTAACACATCAATGGCAACATCCCCACCAACCTGCCATCTGACCACCTGGTATGTACCTTGAGTGTAAGAGAACGCTCAACTGTCCCCAGTGCTTTACTCAACCCAATTCAGTCCACTACTTGACACAGCCCAGATCTCCATCTATCTGTCCATCCACCATATGTCTGTGTGACCCTACCCTGCAGCAGTTCTCCACTTGAGTTTAACATCTTGTCTTATGGCTGTGACAGTGCTGCCTCTGCCTTTCCAGTATGAACATAACACACACACACAGAGAGAGGCAGGTAGACAGACAGTTGACAGACAGACAGATAGATATAGATATATAGATGTAATTACTACATATGTAATATGTGATCTGAGAGTTATTATTAGACATTGAAATTGATTAAAAAAATACAACAAACTATGACTGTCCATAGTCGGCGACCAAAAGGCATTAGAACTACTTGGCAAATTACAACCAACAAAGTGATGTGGTTACATTCTGCTAAATAAATGCTGATCCCTTCTACACCCTGGATTCACTCAATACCCTGCCCACAGAGCTCTTACCCACCCAGGGCTTCCCTGTCCACAAACAAAATATTGTTTGAATTACTCTGTTACAAACTAATAAAAATTTTTTCACAAATGACAAAATAATCAGATGTATGCAGGACATTTGAAGAGATGCATAAGCAGGGCAGTGACACACTCTGGCATCTCTGATGAACTTGTTTCCCGGATTTGCATTTTCTGAATGTCTTGGTATTTTGTTAAAGGTTAAATATCTGTATAAATTGTAAAAACTAGGTATTCTTCCCCTAAAACATTTCTGCAATTGGGTGTTCTTTCTCCACTTTTCCTTAATAAATATACATTTCTTTTGCTAGAAAGGAAGGGAGGGAGGGACGTGGGGAAGGAGGAACAGAAAGAGAAAGATAGGGAAGGAGAGAGGGAGGGAGGGAGGGGGAGGAAGGGAGGGGGAAGGAAGGGAGGGAGGGAGGAAGGGAGGGAGGGAGGGAGGGAGGGAGGGAGGAAGGAAGGAAGGAAGGAAGGAAGGAAGGAAGGAAGGAAGGAAGGAAGGAAGGAAATAAAAGAAAAGATAAAAGGGGGCATGCTGGTCTTTACCTGTGATCTTTGCAGTGAGCTGAGGTAGAAGGATCAGCTCAAGTTTGAGGCCAGCCTGAACTATAGTGAGCAACCCTGCCTGTCTCAAAATAACAAAAACTTTGTCTCCTGCTGCATCAGAGGCGGCAGCAGCAGGTTAGGACTAAGCCAGGTTATACAGACAGGGTCCTGAGAACACTTATGTCGGGACTGAGGAAGTGGTTATGAGGTTAAGTGGATAAGAGGTTAAGTGACTAGGAACTTAAGAGCACTCACTGCTCTTGCAGGGAGGCAGGGTTTGGTTCTGAGAACCCAAATAACAGCTTGCAATGTTCTGTAACTCCAGGTCAAGGTGATCTGACTCTTCTTCCTGGCTCCTGCAAGCAAAACTCTCATACACATAAAATAAAATTTAAATTAAGAAAAAAAACCTGTTAATTTTCTTTCCTTTTTTTTTTTTTTTTTTTTTGATTTTTTGTTTTTTCAAGATAGGGTTTCTCTGTGTAGCCTTAGAGCCTGTCCTGGAACTCACTCTGCAGACCAGGCTAGCCTCGCACTCACAAGAGATCCGCCTGTTTCTGACAGGATTAAAGGTGTGCGCCACTACTGCCCAGCTGAGACAGTATTTCTTCTAGAGAGTATTTTTAAATGTTAAAAATAACATACCAAGCTTAAGGTATTCTTCTCCAGGATTATTTTCTGGGAATCGCAAAACTATTAACCTTTGCTTAGAGTAAAAACATTCCATCTTCTGGCATCCCTGTGATCAAGTTGTTCTTACTTAAACCTATTGTAAAACTGTCATGCAAGGCAGAGGCAGGAGGATCTCTGTAAGTTCGAGACCAGCCTGGTCTACAGGAGCTAGTTCCAGGACAGGCTCCAAAACCACAGAGAAACCCTGTCTCGAAAAACCAAAAAAAAAAAAAAAAAAAAA